AGCTGAAACTACAGATGCATGCCACCACACCTGGCTAGTTTTTGTGATTTATTGTAGAGACGAGGTCTCACCAAGTTGCCCAGACTGGTCTCGCACCCCCAGGCTCAAGCAATCCTCTCACCCTGGCCTCCCAAACTTTTCTGTAAGCTTGAAAATATTTCTAATTTTTAAAAAGTAGAGATTTATGTCTAAAAGTGAAAAAAGGCTTTAGAAAAGTCATTGAGTGAAATAATAAATAAGTTAATTAGTTTGATTTAGCCATTTCACTAAACATCTATTAAAACATCATGTTGTTTTAATATACACATTTTTATTTCTCAATTTTAAAAATTATTTTTTTTAAAAAAAACAAAAGTGCCAGGCACAGTTGCTTACACCTGTAATTCTAGCACTTTGGGAGGCCACGGTGAGAGGACTGCTTAAGCCCAAGAGTTCGAGGTCTGGGCAACATGGCAAGACCTCGTCTCTATAATAAATCAAAAAATTAGCCAGGTATGGTGGCACACACCTGTAGTCCCAGCTACTCAGGAGGTTGAGGGGAGAGAATCACTTGAGTTCAAGAGGTCAAGGTTGCAGTGAGTCAGGATTGTGCCATTGCGGGCCAGCCTGAGCAACAAAATGAGATTCCAACTCCAAAAGAAAAGCCATTAAGAAGAGATCTTTATTGCTGTTTAGATATTTAGTTTATGTTTAGCCAAAAGAGGCCAATTAGGATCCCTGGAGGTTAGCAGTACAGCTTCCTCCCACTTCTCCCCAGTACCACCTCCGGTCTAAATTCAGTTGGCTTTAGGTTTCTACCACTCAACCCATGAACCATCTGCAGTTACTATGCTTTTCTAAACATTGGCTAATATCGTAACTGCAGTTAAACATGATCAAAAAGCAGGGGAAATGCCAATAAAATTGAGGCCCTTGGTCACACATGGATTACACTCAACTCCTTGTTGATCAGGACACAGAAGGAATAAGGTCTCAGAAGTACAAAATCATAACAAGACAGTGCTAGGGTTTGAAGATGTTCACCAGAATTCAAGCGTTGAAAACTTAACCCCCAATGCAATAGTTTTGGGAGGTGGGGCATAATGGAACGTGTTAGGTCATGAGGACTTCGCCTTCATGAATAGATTAATGCCATTATGAAAGAGGATCTCAGGAGTGGGTTCACTCTCTTGTGCTCTTGGCCCTTGGGCCTTCCATCCTGTGATGACTCAGCAAGAAGGCCCTTGCCAGATGCCAGCAGCTGAGATTGGACTTCCCAGTCTCCAGAACTATGAGCCAATAAGTTTCTGTTATAACAACACAACACAGATTGAGACAGGTAGGTTGGTCGCCTGTGCCTCTTCTTCCTCATCTATAATAAAATACCAGCCAGGCTCAGTGGCTCAGCCTGTAATCCCGCACCTTTGGGAGGCTGAGGTGAGTGGATTGTCTGAGCCCGCAGGTTCGAGACCCGCCTGGGCAGGCGAGACCTCATCTCTACAATAAATCAAAAATCAGCCGGGTGTGGTAGCGCATGCCTGTAGTTCCAGCTACGTGGAAGGCTAAGGCGAAAGGATCGCCGGAGCCCAGCAGGTCGATGCTGCGGTGGCCTGGAGCGGCCACTGCATTCCAGTCTGGGCGACAGAGTGAGACTCCAACTCAAAAAAATAAATAAATAAATAATAAATAAATAAAAATACCAGTCCTAACCTCATTGGATTAGTGAGGTCAAATATAATGGATGAAAATGCTCATCAACGTAAATACAAGAATTATGACAAACACCCAGAACTATGCTGGGGTCCATTAAAGTTGTTATTATGAGGGTCCTTGGATGGGTTTTAGGGGGATCCATAAACACCTTGAAATTATACACAAAACTGTGTTTGCATGATGCAGATATATGTTAGTTTTTTCTTTAAAAAGGTATATAACTGTCAACTGATTCCTACCCTAAAAAAAAGATCAAGAACTACTAATTCCCATAAGTCTCTTCATAAAGGTAGCTAAAGCTGCCTTAGATTCAGAAAGAGCTCCATTATTTAGAGAAATTTAATAATGTGTTAAAATGTAGTTGTCCAAAGGTTATATATCTAAACATATATTTTAGACAGATTAAACATACGGCAATAAGTAGAAATTATTACAGTGTCCTCAGAAACCCCCTCAATGATCATATAATCCACAGACAATCAAATACCTGCACATGTGCCAGTATTTCTCATTCTCCTACCTACAGCAGACACATAATCAATAATGGCTCCCTTCAGATACCTTCTCAGAAAAACACACCAGACCATGACTATTAATCACTGGAGTAAAATAAAACCCATCTTCTTTCTCAGAAGCCCAACCAATCACCATGAAAATATGAAAATAAGACCCCTGGGGCCCTTGTCCAATCACTCTTACTCCACATTGAGGACATATTTAACCATCATGCAACTTCAATTATCCTCCAGAATTTTCCTGCCACACAGAGGAAATGCAGGAAATCTTGACACATTTGTAAGGGCAATACATCTGAAAAAAATGCCAGAATATGATTTCTATTCATCTGTGAAAGGGTGTTCTGTGGTATTTGGTTTCACTGTGGGCTTTGTGGTTTGTTTTGGGGTTTTGTTTCATTTTCTTTCTTTTTGGGTGTGGACAAGGACTAAGACAGGCAACGGGGTATAAATAGTTTCCTTTCTTGCTAGATTCTTATTAAAGAGCTGGATTTTGTTTTTGTTTTTAATTGCATATAACTCTCCGAAGGAAGAGAGGACTAATTGGCTGGCTAAGGGATTTGTACAACTCTGAGAAGGAAGAATTCAATGTTGCAAAACATACTGAACACTAGCAGAGATTTTACAAGCAAAAGGTAATCAACTTTACAAAGTCCAACCAATCTCAAATATGTCTATATTTCAGTAACTTAATTTTTTTTACCACCTTAAATAAAATGGCTATTTTCTTTCCTTCTCTTGTACTATACTAGGGGACCCCAAAAAACGGAATTTGTTTGTAAAAAATTGTGCCGGGCTCAGTGGCTCAACCTGTAATCCTGCGCCTTGGGAGGCTGAGGTGAGTGGATTGCCTGAGCCCGTGGGTTCGAGACCCACCTTGGCAACTTGGCGAGACCCCATCTCTACAATAAATCAAAAATTAGCCGGGCATGGTAGCGCGCGCCTGTAGTTCCAGCTACTTGGGAGGCTGAGGCGGAAGGATCGCCGGAGCCCAGCAGGGCGAGGCTGCGGTGGCTGGGAGCGGCCACTGCACTCCAGTCTGGGCGATGGAGTGAGACTCCAACTCAAACAAAAAACAAAAAAACAACCCATAAACTACCAAAATTAAAAAAACAAAAAAAATTGTGTATTTTTCTTACATGTTTAAACCTTCTAAGTACTCTCTGTTTGATGCAATATTCCTTTTGAGATGCTTTTTCCACTGCTCAAAACAGCTTTTGCACTTGTCCATTTTGATGCCTTTTAGTGCTTCTGCCATTTTTTGTTTCACCTCTTCCACACTGGCAAAACACTTTCCTCTGAGGACTTTTTTCATTCGGAGAATCAAAAAAAAAAGTCGCTTGGGGTAAGACAGGATGAACAGGAAAGTTGGGACACAAGTGTCATGCTGTTTTTAGTCAAAAACTGCTAAATACTCTGAGAGGTGTGGGCAGGTGTGCTTATAAATCATCCATCACAAAATGAGCAGATGCATTGAAGGAATCTCCAAAAAAAATTCACTGAAGTTGAATGCAGCTTCTCCCAACAACGCTAGCTGGTACACTGATGTGGATGAGTTCCTAGAACACTTACCTAGCAGGGGAACCTGTACTACTAGGAGCCTGCCCTCAAAAGATAATTCCAGGTTTTTTGAGTCCCCTTCATATATTCCTCATGTAAATATGTTACATAACTTATATAGCTACAATAGTATCACCCAGTTAAGTTTCTAATATAGAACTAACTTTCTAATCTGTGCCAAAATAAAACTGTGAGCAATCCATAAAACACAACTACTTGAAATATCATGAGCTGCTCTTACCATGGCATAACATCCATCCGTTGTCAAGATTAAAACGTCTATTGGGGAGGTGTGGTTGGCAACACAAATGCCTCCCTTCTGGGGTCTGTGCTGCCTGCAAATACAAACAACGGTAAATACGAAAATCTTAAACAATAGTCACTATTTTTCAGAACAGATGTAAACACTCATGTTACTTTTAAAAATATATTTTAAAAAATAACTTTTGGAGGCTTATGGTCCCATCTTTAAAAAATTATCTCTAGATAGTCTGATGGGAGTGAGTTAAAGAGCCCATGTTTTTTCCTTTATAATACGTGGGTTTTGCTTATTTAATCTTAAGTATTTTCATATTATTTTGATCTTCATAAATATCACTTTTAGTGACTTCATGAGCAAATTTACCATGGTTTCCTCCCTTCCATCCTTCTAGAGCAGAGGCTGGCAAACTTTTCCTATCAAGGGCCAGACAATAAATACTTCAGGCTTTGCAAGCTAGATAATCCCCATCACAATTACTTGACTCTGCTGTTGTGACACAAAAGCAACCATAGGCAATATGTAAATGAACAAACCTGGCTGTGTTCCAATAAAACTTTATTTACAAAAAACAGATGGCTGGCCAAACTTGGCCTGTGGACCTAAATTTGTTGATGTCTACCCTAGAGCTAAACCAGTATTTGACACCAATGAAGCAAAGTAGTTTGGTTTGGGCCTATACAAAGAAGAAAAAGGAACTAAGTACATAATGTCTCAGCATATTTTCTTTAAAATCAGAAGCAATTCCATAAGAAGTTGTGAACTCTTCTCCATGTAACTAGAGCACCTTTTCTGCACTTATCTCCTCTGATTACATCTCTGTTTTCTTCTACTCTTCACTTCAAAACTCAGAGTACAAACAAACATCATCAAATTTTAAAATGTCAGTGGGCCTTTTATGTTGGTAATACATAGTAAAGCCAAGTGACAAAATATTTCCTGTCTACAAGTGAGACAGAGACCCATTCAGCTAAAAAAAAAAAAAAAAGAGGTTTGCACGACAATATACACACAGAAGTAATCTGCATTTGCACCCACAAACATATAAAAACAAATAATAAAATACAATATAAAAGAGAGGCTTGTCCTAGAACTTCTAAAGCAGTGATGTTAAATCTAAAAAAAGAAACTGAGTTAAAGGAAAAGTAATTTGAAAGCAATCAAAATCATTGTCACTTGGCTAATAATTTCATTCAGCTACCTTTATTCTCTATGACTGCAACAGAGAAAAGCAGACTTTGTCTTCGGTTCAGTTATGACATTTTAGAAGCAGCAGGATAGGGATTGGAGAAAAGGCCCCAGACTCTAGTCAGTCCTCCTTCTACTACACCACAGGCCTGTCTGTCAACTTCATTATTTTTTAAATCAGATAGACCTGGCTCAAAACCTGACTCTGCTACTTCCTCACTTAAGTGACCCTGAACAACCAAGCCCAGAGCTTCAATTTCCTCTCCTGGAAAACAGGATAACAGTGCCTGTCTCTCAGGAATGACCTATGAGAGAAATAGGGCCTGGCTCGCATGCCACAAATGCCCAATTATCAAACACAGCTACACTGATTATTACACTCTTACACATAGACACTGTGTATGAAGTGTTTTCTGTGTTATGTCTGTGCCCCCTGAGAAACAAGGATGGACACACTGCACATGCTCTGACTCCACCTGCTTCCCCCACCCACTTCCAGGGCTCCCCTGTCCATCTCATGCTGGACTGACCCTGAGAGAGGCAGGCACCCCGCCAGCACTCACTTGTTATGATAATGAATGGTACCAGAGAGGGCTCGCACACAGATCCGGCAGCAAGTCAGATGGACCAGCTCACTCAGCCTGTTTTTGAGGCTGAAAGGAAAAGAAAACATCTTATTATGCAGCTCTGGGCATGCCTAAAAAACAGTACAATCCAAGCTGTAATGTGCTCTTCCACAACAGCATATTGTATTCTATCCTGTTGAGCAAGCACAGTCCAATTCTTACGTTCTCATTGACGTGTTTAGTATTAGATGGCAAACATCTACCAAGAGAATTGGACACAACTCTAATGGAAGGTGGCTCCCACCCAAGTAGGTTATTATTACAAATCCCTGAACAAGATAAACAGAAGCCTCTCCAGTCTTGGCCTTATGAGCCTGCCAATATGTAAGACTCTCTTTCTTTGGGTTTCTCAGTTTATTTACTTTCTTCTCTTCGTTTCTTCTCAGAAGAAACGATTTCTTTCAATTTATATGGAAAGACAATGAAAATCAAAGAAAGACTATGAAGGTGAAATAAGAAGAATTCTAATAAGTTGGTTGAGACCAAAACACAATACAAAGGAATCAAATATTCTTTTTGTGAACAAAGCTAAGAAAAAGGACAGTCCTGCTTATGGCTGGATGGAAGGCAATACTTCACCTGCTGTCTGGCAGCTGTCCAACCAGTGTAGTTCCTATAACCAGCAAACTGATCCCAATGAAAGCCAAGGTAACCCTGAAAAAAGAAAAGAAAAGGTCATGCAAAAGTTTGGCCAATATTAGAAGTCACCTAAAAGTCCACAAATATTGAAACTTTAAATAAGTTGTAGAGTATCCGCATGACAGAATAGGATGCAGTCATTAAAAGAACTGGTTAAATGTATAGATTTTTGACATGAAAAAATGTTCTATGACACATTATGAGAGAACAAAGCAAAGTAAGTTTCAGAATAATACATGAGTTTGATACTGTTTTCAAAATAACAACAAGCACGTACATATAACTCGTCTTTATATACATAGAGAAGGCCTGGAAATTTGTTCACAAAACTGTCCCGTTCAATCTATGGAATCATCAAAGGGTCAAGAGTGCTCACAGAAAGAAAATATTTAAAGGTTCTTTCATAATAAGAACACCAAAATATATCACCATGTACAAATCCTTCCATGGAAGTGTAACTGTTGTTCTTCTGTCATGAGCTCAAGATACTCAGAAATTAGCAAAGTGACTGAAAATACCTCTCATCTCCACACAGACATTTTCTGTCTTGAAAAGTGCTTTTACATTTCAATCACTTCACAAGTAAAATAACAATTTCTAGAAATGTAAATAGAATCACTCAAAATGAAGTGATTAAAATTTGAAATCTTTCCAAATAAATAAGACTTAGTTAAAGGGGAGGGGGAAAAAATCGAGTTTAATCACATTTTTCTGATAAGATTCTTTAAACCACTTTACTTTGTCAAACAGAGAAAGCAGAAACTTTAGATGACCTTGCTGCCCTCTCAAATCAAACAGAGGCCTGCCTGTGCCTTCCAGTGCCCTGAAGACAACTGCCACCTTTTGCTAAATGTGCGCTTCAGTAACCACAATGAAGGGGACCACCACAGCAACACTAGAAGGAAAGTACTTGAGGGAAGCCACCAGGACTGCCTGAGGTCAGCGGCCAGGAACAGTGGGCCCTCAAAGTCAAGCTGGTTTCTGGCTGACATGATCTGTTTTTCCCTCCTGACCATACAATTGGAGTACAAAATAGTTCATCTTACCCAATCTCAGGTTTTACATTAGCTGAAAAAACAATAGCTAGTGGTACATGCCAGGCAATATTCTAAGAACTTGTTTTAGCTTTAACACACTTAATCATCCCCAAAATTCTATGAGACGATAATCGTATCACCACCATTCTAAAGATGAAGAAACCGAGGCACACAAAGGTTGAATAACTTAACCGAAGTGATAAGTCAATGAGTGGCAGGGCCAGGATTTGAACCTAGGCAGTCTTACACATTATGCTATTCTGTCTCTCCAAAGGTTAATATTATCATTCAATACAATCTATTTTTCAAAAGCTCTCTTTGAAGTCGCTGTTTCTTTTTAAAAAAGCATTTACAAAGCTATGGGCTCACTCTGAAGGGTATGTTCTCAAAGTGGGAGTCTTAACTCTGCCATTTGTTCTTGGATGCTGATGCTTCTGCACTCCATCTTAGCCAAAGGGCGGAGAAGCAATGAACGCATTCCTGGATTATCTTTTTGTTGCTGTTGTTACTTTATTTTATTATAAAGATGTGGGGTACAAGTCAGGATTAAGTACACATGTAATGTATGTGGAGGTGAAGTTTGGGCCTCCAACTGGTCCTCACTTCCCCTGGTTTAGGATCATGTGCCCTTTGTGTTGTTACATGTGACTCCCCCACCCCCGCCCCTGGGGGACAGTGCCCTGTGACTGCCAATCCCTCCCTTGTGCTATTGTGATTAGTGTTCAGGTCCCACTTATGAGTGAAAACATGTGATATTTGGTTCATTGTTTTTGATAGACTGCTAAGAATGATAGTCTCCAACTCCATCCAATTTGCTGCAAAGTCCATGATTTTGTCCTTCTTTATGGCTGTGTAATATTCCATCGTGTATATGCACCATATTTTCTTTATCCAGTCTAATTTCTTTTCTTTTTTTTTTTTTTTTTTGAATTGGAGTCTCACTGTCTCA